ATATTGCGTCGTTTTCGGTGTGTCTTGGCCGGCCCCGAGGCCATCCTGGGCAACTCTGCAGCAGTCTCAAGCTTCCAAGAGTCCAGAGAGGCCCGCGTCGCCGATTTCCGATAGCTTGCCCCCGAGGGCCTTTCGCGCGCCTTTTGGGCGCCTCTTGGGGTTCTTTCTGGGCTTCATGGGGGCCTATTGGGGACCCTGTTCGGCGCCTCTTGGCCCGGTGCTTTCAGCGTTCGCCGCGCGCGCGTGGGGCGGCGGGCGAGAGCCCGAGCGCGCGGGTGGCGGGCGCAGCCCCGGGGCCCCGCCCCTCCAAATCAACCGGGCTGGGGCGGGGCTTGGGGAGGGCATCGCGCGCGCCGATGAACCCAGAGGGATGCGGACTATTCGCTGACTCGGTTGCCTGGATAATGGTCAAAGTCTCACGGGCCAGATGGGTGCCTTCCTGAGCCAGAACGTGGGGCCTGGCGTTTTGCATGGAGCCCTGGGCCAGACCTGCCTCGCCTTGGCCAGGGCCCCATCTCTACCTCAGCAGGGCAATCGACGCGCCCTTCCGCAGCCGGAGGAGCCGAGGAAGCGGCCCCATGGCAATGGGTGCCGGCGCGATCCTCGGAGAAGGCCCCTCGAAGCTGCTGGAGATCGCCCGCGGGCCCTGTCAGGTGGCCGGGGAATGCGATGCCTGGCGTTCGGCGTGCCTTGGTCGAGTCCAAGGGTGCAGATGCTGACTTCCAGATCGCCATCGGTGCCGCGCCAGCTGGTCCTTCAAAGGCGGAGGTGCTATGGGGGCCTTCTCCAGCAGCTCGGGGCGAGCATCCAGACAGCCATAATCGACATCAGAAACCTGGCCCTCGACCCAGCGATAGCGAAGGACCTCCTCGCCAACGTTGCATCGAGGCCGGGAAAGCTCTCGGCCTCGAACTCCAGCGCGACCGATCGACCGACGAGGCGACATGGAAGTGGCGGGCCAAAGCAAGTACGCAGCCAGGAGCGGGACGTGCCCGCCGCTGGATCTCGGGCCACAGCAGTTGGAAGCCCCAAACAGTTTGGCAGAGTACGTCAATTTGGCGGTCTGGCCGTCCGATGGCGCCCCAGCGAGCCGAAGCCCAGCGACTGCCGTCGCCCGTTTCGCGCGCGCCTTCGAGGCGGTCGGCCCCCCCGCCGTCGCTTTTCTTCGCCGCCGAGCACTGGCCGCGGAGGGGCCGGGACAGGCCAAGCCACGTGCGGCTCGGAGATTCTGGGCCAGGATCAGACAGCCAGTTGCTCGCGGAGGGGAAGTCCAAAGCACGCGGGCCCTGCCTGGCCCGCCAGTTAGGAAGGGGCGCCCTCGAGACCGTTTGCGCCCAGACCCTGGGTGTTGAACCTGCTCGCGTCGAAGGAGCCTGAAAATGCGCAGCTGCTACGCAGTGGCGGCCCGTGCCAAGAGACGGCATGCTTGCCTCCCGGGTGCCCTGGGTTTCTTGTGTTTCGATGGTTTTGCCACGGGGCGCGCGGCGTTCCCGCGCCAAAAATCAAGGGGCGCCCCGGGATCTCAGGGCTGGGTGCCTTGTGGAAGGTTTCCCGTGGACTGGCCTCCAGTGCGCTTTGGGACTTATCGAACTACCGCGAACATGTCAACTGCGACACATGGCACTGCGGAGCAGTTTGGGCAGTTTGGGCCCGCTTCTGCCAAGCGTTCGCGGCGCCCATTACCGACCTGCCCGGTGCTCCAGCCTCGCGGCGAGGCGATTTCAAGCAGTTTGCGCTGGTGGACGCCCGCGGCGCGGCGCGCCAGCAGGATGCATATTAGCCGCTCTTGCCACCAAATTTGTTTGCATTGTGCCACCAGGGCAACCCGTGTGCTGACCTCAACGCGCTCGCGCATGACACCCTCATCATGGTCAGTCGCGAGGGCCCCGCGGCCCCGGCGGGGGCCGCCCACTATGGCGCCCCGCAGCGTGAGAGCCACCAGCCAGGCTGGCATCGATAGCGAAATTGCTACGCACGAGTCAGCCATCCTTGGTTCTTCCAGCAAGGTATGGCACCCGCTAGTCATG